GTTCATAGCTCAACTCTAACTCGTCCGATTTTAATGATCGATAGCTTAAATAAAAGCCCTTACATCACTGAATACTTTAAGACTATAACAAATTCAACATTCATTGAAATCAGCGTGAAAATTTAGTTCATAATGATGTGTCACAACACTAGCATTGTATAAAAAAGTTATTAACATCCAATATGGCGGATCCAAGATGGCGACCGAAAACACCAGCTTGGCCACACTTTCAGACAAAATACTCAGTAGTACACGGTTCTACATGTCATTACCTATCAATCGCCAACAATCATACAATTGCTTAATTCAAAATCCTACAAAATTACATATGCCTCACAACTATAGTCTAATTTATTTTATTTTCTAATACCTATAATTTGTTTATAGCAGACCTACCCGTAGCAGCAGACCTGTATACTCAACGAATTACAAATGCTTCAATAAATAATTAAAATGGAGCCACACATCATCATTTCTCAAAGTATGTTCATGAACAAGCATGCAAAAAATTGTCCATAAGAATAACATTGGAAGTTAGTATGTAGGTTTGCTGCCACGGAAATGTAAAAATGGGGGATTTTAGGCCATAATAAAGTAGATCTCTACTAAATGAAGCCACATACCAATTATTATTAAGATATGCTGAGTAATAAGCTAGATATACAATTTTATTTTTTCCCCATAAGGATAACATGGGGACAATGTTCTGTGTTTTCCGCCTTCAATATCTCGGTAACCAATGGTCATAGAGCAATGATTCAAAACACCAAATTGTTTGATTTTTTGAGCTGAATTCAATGGTGTAACTTAAAATTCGATTATTTTACTCTGAAAAGAGTTATTATTAATTTAATGAATAGATGTCACACATTGCGGCCATCTTGGATTTACGACGTCATAAAAATCAAACCCCGCAATTTGAGGGTAAACACCCGGTACTACACCATTATGTGACATATAATAAAGAGATTCCACATAGTTACACATTTGCTTCACAAAAAATCCCACGGAAGCTGGATATGTGCAGTTTGCTCCTGGACTAATAAATCTGTTCCCAAACTCCACACGGCTCGCCTTTACAACGTCCTACACAATTTCCTACGTCATGGACCTGTTTCCCTCCATTCCCATAGCACTTTAGGATTGTAGATACGTTGATCTAATCGTCATAAAAAGTTCCCACGCTCCATACTAATCGCCTTTACTACTTCCTTCACCACTTCCTACGTCGCAAACATGTTTCCCTTTCTTTCCATTGCATTTAAATATTGCAGATACATTAATCTAATCGTCATAAACAGTTCCCACATTCCGGACAGCTCGCCTTGACTACTTCCTTCACCACTTCCTACGTCGCGGACCTGTTTCCCTCCCTTCCCTTTGCATTTAAAGATAGCAGATACCTTAATCTAATCGTCATAAACAGTTCCCACACTCCGGACAGCTCGCCTTGACTACTTCCGTCACCACTTCCTACGTCGCGGACCTGTTTCCCTCCCTTCCCATAGCATTTTAGGATTGCAGATACCTTAATGTATTCGTCATAAACAGATCCTAGACTTCGCACTGCTACCCTTGACTACAATTATCGAGTAATCTTAAGTATAATCTTTGCTCAATATTAACAAGTGATGTTTTTCCTTTTGTACTGTATTTGTAATTTGCTAGTATACTGTGGGTAGTTGGCTTATTATGAACACATGCTACAACTTCAAGTCTTTTGTTTACTTGTTCCTTGTTATTTAATTCAGCCAACATGGTTACCTAGCAACCCATAAAAGTAATGTTAAAAAAAATGTGATTTTCAGTTTAATTTTTCTACGTAATTAGATTTTTTTTTGCAGTTCTAACTGCATGAAACTCGTTTTTAGGCCAGAAATGAACTATTTACAACATTTGAAGAAAATCCTCGGAGCCGTTTTTGAGATCTTTGTGCAAGCAAGCAAGCAAACATTGCTCGTATTAGAGTATAGGATATACAAATGACTTCTGCTAGAATAAGCTCAATGTTTATTGTAAGACATATTTTTAATATTTTAGAGTTGTGTTATATTACTAGACACTTGGTCTACTTCTTCAACTAAACACTTGTTGAGTATATGAACTACTCGTCAGTTTGTTAAAATGGTTTTCAGATATTCTTTACGTACAAATTGTGCGTAGTCATACAATTAAGTGCTGTAGAGCACACAACGTTTTTATAGAAACCGTTGCAACGAAGCGTGAACTCGAACGGGAGTATTGTCTGAAGCCCAGAGAAGTACGTGTTCCTCACACACTTCAGTAAATCTTTACAGAGAACTTCTGGAGTGTAATTATGAGAAAGAAGCATGATATAGCTTATTGAAATAGCCATTTATTGAAATGCAGAAATGAGTCCTCAAGCAGACGGTATACATGTTTTGTTGGCTCTGTCGTTCATCCGTTTTTATTTACACTGACTTAAGATGCAAAATTCTAAACAAAATGTTGCATAAATATCACCAACACTTGAGTGTGATGGAATGTCTTCTTACCATTTGTTTTATTACATAATCTGACAGTATTTTACGACATTAGGATGTTTTATATTAATTTATTTGTAGTGGGAAACATATCCATTACAGATTATAAGTATTGATGATTTATATTTTATACAAATTAAGCTCTACCGAGTAATAGCCGGTCTCCTGTTACTAGTTTACGTAATGCTGGTATTATAATATTTATTAATTATTTGCTGATCATACCTTTTTTGTGGTTTTTTATGAATAAAGGTCCGGTTGCCCTTAGAGCCTAGCCCTCTTTAAATTCATAATGCTTTTAGTGACTAATATTTGTAATTATTTTTAAATACAGGCTGTTAAGAGGTATCATCATGTTCATAAACCGTTAGAATAGATTTTTAAACATTTCATCAACAAATCACAAACTACGTAAAACTATCCATAACACTGATATAAATGTCTATAATAATGTAAATATGTGGTTTCCCTAGACACTAAATTAAAATACCTAGCTCATTAAAATAAAAGGGCAAACTGAATTATTAAACTCAACACATTTAATTGAACCCACACAGTAAGGACATAGATAAGACTATTATTGTTTTTTAACAACACATTTAACAATTTAACCATCTGGTATTCATCAATGAAGAATAACATTAATAAAAAAGACATGTGGCAAATATTAAATTGCACTCAACAAATAATAATCAGCTTCAACGCGAAAAAAAACATAAACTCTCGTGTGAACAATTGTATATTGAAGATTGAATTTATTGAATAATGTTAGGAAGGTTGCTAGGGTCTTATAATTTGTATATGTCAAACAAAAATAAAACATTGTTTTTCTTAACTTTTACGTAGATATTATATTCTCTAGGTCTGTTATGGTGACTGAGGAAAAAAACCCATTTTCATTTTATCATATTTTGAGTCTGCAGTAAATAACTTGTCACAATATGCAACTTTTTGATTCGTTTAAAAGATAAATTAGCCGTATTAGTACAGTAACAAACATTTATCTTGCATGAAGACAAATAATTGTCTCATACAAAGGAAGTTTGAACAATAGAACTTCGGTCTTGTTTGGTTTGGAAAATTCAAGTGAGGCTCTAGTGTTTGTGTGGAAACAGTGTTTCCTCTTTTGCTGACATTACATAAATTAAATGAATAATCGTAGAGTTATTTTTCAAAATTAAAAGTCATACAATTTAATCAATTATTTTCTCTCTCCCTCTATTTAAAATATAAGAATAATAGTTTAGACTCTTAAAGCTAATTTTGTAAATAAAAAACCTTTAACCTTTAAAATCTTTAAAAAACACACACAAATTTCTACAAATATATAACACCTACAGCGTCATTTTTTAACCACTCTCTTTTACTTTGTTAGTTTTAAAACTTATGATAATAACGTTACAACTTGGAAGCCAGTGTGGCAATGACCTAGAAGAGTATCAAAATAAATTAGGAGTATGTCCGTGATGCCATTTATTGGATCTATTCCTTTAGCTCAATGAGCCCAATATGTTTCCAGTGACATACCTACAACCTTTCACGTTTATAATATAAGTAAGAAAATGTGTACACGTAAATTATTTATATATAAATTAATAATTATTTATAAGATGCATTTATATTTAAGTAATATACGCTATCTAAATGAGGAAAAATGCTTTTGCTTTTAAAATTTTTTTATGATGTCCCAATATTCATGATAGTACACTATTTAATTTTACAAACTATCTAACTGAAGTATTAGCTATTATAGAGTTTACAGTTTTGTTTAGTACTATAAAACTTCATAATTCTTATCTGCAAATAACTTGAAGTAATATTAGCCTGAAAATATGTGTAAAACCGTTCCGGGCTAGCGTCCTAAGATCAGAAGAAGGGACTACAAACATCTGAAAGGACTACAATAAACATGTTTAATATTATAGTTATACCTAACTGGTTTTTTCCAGATTAATTTAATACATACTTTGTCACTTGGGCATCATTACGATCAAAACTTTAAATTAGATGAAGAGGGAGGTAGTATAAAAGCACAATTATTAAATTTTCAACTTAAAAAGAGTATTGTATAGTATAATTACACTGCACTACTCAACTATTGATGTTTACCGATGAGTACATTTAATAGCTATTTAAACCCACTATATTTATAAAAAGGCTAATAAATGTGCATAGTTTGATTCAGAGATAAACTGCATGATTTTCTGCTTATAGGAGTGTTAAATAACTTCTTTAAGTATTTTTTTTAATAATCAAAATACAACATTACACAAACAAAATAAACACAACACTACCACAACAATATATCGGGTATCCAACAATCTATGAGTATGCAAACACGCATACGAAATAACTAACCGTATCTAAAGACCATAGTAGTGGGGAGGCCGGAACCTGTTACATTACAAAGGCTAACATAGAGTTATGTGACTGAAGATGTATAAAACCCACCAGACTCTAGGTACCAGACACACTCGTCTGTAGACATCAGCGGAGATGAAGCGTCTTCTAGTTTTGTTGTTGGTGACTGCTGTCTTCGCCGAGGAGAAGAAGATAGAAGAGAAGACAGAAGAGAAGAAACATGGCAAGAGAGGAATAGAAGACTTCGGTGGACACGAGTTCAGTGGTGGAGACTTTAGTAGACATGATTTTGGAGATCATGGTTTTGGGGGACATGACTTTGGGGGCCATGACTTCGGGGGCCATGACTTTAGTAATCATCACCACCACGAGGTGAAGACCATCACGATAGAGAAGGAGGTGAAGGTGCCGTACCCGGTCCACGTGGAGAAGAAGGTACCGTACCCTGTCAAGGTGCACGTCGAGAGGCCGGTCCCCTACCCTGTGGAGAAACCTTACCCGGTGACTGTGGAGAAGGAAGTGCCTTACCCGGTCAAGGAGTACATTCCTAAACCTTACCCTGTCGAGAAGAAAATACCCTACCCTGTGAAGGTGCATGTAGAGAGGCCAGTTCCCGTGCATATCCCCAAACCTTACCCCGTCTACGTAGAGAAGAAGGTGCCCTACCCTGTAAAGAAACATATCCCTTACCCGGTCAAGGTGCATGTCCCCCGGCCTGTCCCCTATCACGTTCCTGTTGTCAAACACGTGCCTTACCCCGTCGAGAAGAAAGTCCCTTATCCTGTCAAGGTGCCAGTTGAGAAACCAGTCCCCTACCCTGTGGAGAAGCCTTACCCCGTCCACGTAGAGAAGAAAGTTCCCTACCCGGTGGAGAAGGAGGTGCCATATCCAGTAAAGGTTCCGGTTCACATCCCAGTCCATGTTCACGATCACAAGCATGAGGAACATCATTTTGGAGAACATGATTTTACAGGACAGGGTCACAAAAGTTTTCACTTTGGAGGCTATGAACTATAAATAGTATTGAAGACATTGTAAATAATGAAAATGTGATCACGTATTTTGTACAGTTTGTATATATTAAATCGCCTTTAGGAATTAATTAATAAAATTTCACTCTTGATAACTGGTGTAATAAATTGAGTTACCGAATATCCTCCAACTACCTATTGTACTCTACGCGTCTTACAGCGGTGCCCAAAATACAGCAGACTGTGAATAGATGTACAGCAAATGTTTAGGTTAATATATTTTTAATCTCCCTATCATAATATACACAGATGATTTTTCATAACGCCGGTCTTTTTGAGTTAAATGTTCAAAGCAAGTGGGTAATAGACACACTAGTTTTTTTTATATAAAAACTATTCAAAAGTAAATATTCACCTTGAGTTGTTTGCTCATCCATGTTGCATCATATCACTACTGGAACACTTTGTGGAATGTTGAAGTTTAACTTTTTTTCTTTTCCAGGAACATTTGCTAATCATCATTCCATGTTTTTGTTGTTGTCGAAGTTATTTAAACCTACATTTGCGATTGTCAGAATCGAGCACAATAAGTTTACTTTTTATGTGATATTAGGCCTCATAGACATTTTATAAGGTCTCTTGGAGATCATCACTTATGAGAACATCACTTTGTAGGACATCAGTTTCAAGGAGAGGAGCACAGACATGAAATCTCGTACTTTGATGGCTGCAAACTATAAATAAATTTTGACATTGTGCAATTTGTACATATTTGTTGAGTGTTTGGATAGAAACTATACATAAAATACTCTCAACTAATTCATTATATTTTTTTCAACAAAAATAACATGGATTCATAAAACTCAACCCACATTCACAGAATAAACACTTTCCCTTTCAATTTTTTTAATTTCATTTTCTGACAACATGAAATATGTTATACCTATCTGCTGGCTTTCCATTCCCATTAAACGTACAGATTCAGGAAACATTTTACAAACAATATTCTTTTCCTACAGTTACCTAACAATGTACATGTTCCCTCACTGATTTGAGAAAGCAAAGTGAGACAATGTTAACATTGTCTCACTCGAATTACTTTGTCTCACTCCAGATTTGCAACGATAAGGCACAAAATAGTGAGCGCGTAACATGCAGACAAGGTCGTATGCGCGCGAAATACGTTGGCAGCACTGGCTGTAAATCAGCTGGTCAGCTGTTTTACTGTTGTATCATTAAATGTCATATTATAAGTTCACTTCTGTGTAAAAATATGTTAAGGTTTTTTTTACCAATTTATTTGTTTTATGGTAACTGTAGGAAAAATATAATGTACAACTCGAGTGCAAAGTGCAATTGCCTCACTCGAGAAACCATTCCTCTTCTCTCGAGTGAGTCAATTGCTCACTTTGCTCACTAGTTGCACAAATAACTAAAGTTAGTCAGATTCTTACTTGATTTTAAATGGTTTGTTGTTACCAAAGTGTTTAGTTAAAGAAACTACTTAGTGGCTTGGAACTCTGCTTTTGATCTATTTGTTTAATAAACGACAAATAGATATGTTTCTTAGGCGAATGTCTTTATCTGAACTTGAGAACTCCGTCTAATAAATACTCTTAGAGAAATTTAATGTTGAATACATTTTACCGATTTTATTTTATTCGAATTAAACTATTTTAAAATAACTAAATGTTTTTAGGTAGTTTAAATTGTGATGTTGCGGTGGTTTTTATTGAAAAGATAAACCACGGCCGTCAGAATGCTATTCCACAGTTTCATAGTTGGATACAAACATACTAAACTCATGTATATACAGTACTAAGATAATATTATCCAATATTTTCTTAGTTAATTATCGATGAGGTAGTAGACCGCAGCTATTATTATTATGATTGTATTATGATTGTCCAAATTTTAATATTAGTAATGATGTAAATTATGTTTTTTTTTTCTTACGATACCACTAACAAATATTATAATCCTATAAATTCATATATATATACAGTACCATATATGTTCATTACTACGCATAGTGTAATATTTGCGGCCACAAAGTATTAAATTAAAATTAATATTTAACATGGTAAAAAATGTGAAATAAAAATTCACAATACTAATTATTGTGTGTACAACTTCATTGTATTGTACAACTTTTCAAAATTTTGTTCGAAATTTATTTATTTTCAAGCTTCAAAAATGCAAACTACCGAAACTGTTTTAGGTAAACACTTTATTCATCTGACATTTAAAGGAACATATGCGAGGTATTACAATTGTTCAAAGCAAAAGAGTAAAAAGAACTGCTCGAGTATTTTAATATAAAAACCATGCTAAAGTAAACATTTTGCACGAGGAGTTTGCTCATCCATGCTGCATCATATCACAACCAGAGCGTATGACTCTGTGCATCTCGACTGAATGTCAGACTTTTTTGTAAAGTTTAACTTAACTTTTCTTCCAAATAAATTATGGTTGTGTTGCCTTTGTTGCTACGCATCAAACTGATTGGCCTTTCTTACTAACATCATAAATACCTCAATAATTAGATTTAAAAAGTTAATACCGGTTGAATTTTATTCACATTTGTATTATACTGCAATGAGGCATAATTGCTAACTAGATAACTTGTTGCTCGAAATCGAGCAAAACTGCAAGCTGTAATAAAAGAATAAACAACAAAAACATAAACAGCAAGACCGCAATCAAAGAGTCACTCTAAAGTAATTTCTGACTGATTATAGAAATTTGGAAAATATTTTGTTGTAAAAAATTTAAAAAAAATAGTCTACAATATTTAAATATACTGTAGATCCGCACTCATAATGCTTTGGTTATCTCTTATCCCGGTAGTGGGTGCCCTCTATTAGAACGTAAGCAAATGCGTTGTGTCCACCACACACTGTAAAGTGAGCTTTTTAGACTTGTTGTAGCAAGCTAAATCCCTCTCTTGACGCCAACCAGTACGACACGTACTACAGCATTGTTAAACTATTTGTAATATATGTTCTGTTTTAGGCGTGTTCAAATTAGGGGCACCAACCAAAGTCGAAAGTGAAAACTACAATAATTTAACTCTTTGTTCATAATACTAATAACATGCATAATAGCATAACTCCTTTAGTTAGGCAAGACTTATGCAATATTTTTAGGAAAGTCTACTGGTTAGAAGAGTGCATGGGTGGTTATTATAACGTAGCATAATAGCTTGATGAAATGCTCATAGAAACTTACCTCAGTCCCATTATTCTAGCTTAATACCCTGCCTTAACGACCTAAGTTGACTTAGTGGACTGATTCAATGTCTGCTAAATTACAATAATTATGATATGATTCAAGTGGCAAAGCAAAATCAACTGAGTTTAATTTTCTTGCTTTATAAAAGTAATAATTTTTGTCTATTAAATTGTTTTTTTTTTCTGAACGATCAACAATAAGAGAAGCACTAAACTATACTTAGAAAGATCCAAAGGTAGCTTAAAGCCATAGAAAATTCCAAAAGCAGTTTGTATTATAATTAAAAAGAAGTTATACGGTGATTGTGCTTCCAAGAACCCTGAGGAGTAACGGTGATAATAAGGCAGGCCAAGAGGGAAGCTTCTGGAATGATTCCAACATGGAATAACTCCGAGAAACAGTCGGTTTACTCGAGCATCCCGAGTGGTTTGGGCAGTCTGAAGATTATCAATATCTGCAGCTTATTCTCTTTATTGAAACATGGCGTCCCGTTTAGCCAAACTCTACAATAGTGGAACTTTGGTAACACGACCCTCGATAACAAGTCACCTATAATAACAAGTGTCATCTCAAACCCACTTGATTTATATTACTTCTAATCACATGTAATTGTAAACGTCAATCAGAAGTCAACCTTAATCATACCCATAAGAAACTTGTTATTTAGGTTCCACGGATTTTTTAGGATAGGGAGATAGCTTCTTCTTCTGTTCGATATTATGGTGTATCAATGATCCAATACACTTACGCCAAACTTAATAATTAAATACCCTCGCCAGAGCAAACCTGCAGACTAAGCCAATTAATCACCCCGTTTACGTGACCTGATCTTGCTGGTTCGCAATCTTAATCAAGTGTATCCAATTCTACACATTATTGCCAAATTCCATCAAAATCAAATATATATGTAGGGCTTTTCGTGCCATTTACTGTAATGGCTTCTTCGCTGTAAGCATATTCACCAAAACTGTTAATAGTAAATACGAATGTTAATAAGTAAGTCGTTTTGCTTTTGATAGTAAATTTTCAAGCAAAGAAGACTATTAGGTCGAATAGTAAATGTTAGTAATCCAAACATGTTTTGAACGTTGTGAGATAATTAGAAACGGCTCTCTAACACACGCTGCCAATAACAAATTGCCTCCTTTGAGACAGCGGCTTAGCTTTGGGGCTGCGACAAAGAGATTACGAACAATACAAGTTTGGTTTTGTTTGGATTGGAACAGTTTCTAAAAACTATATTTCAACTAATCAATAGTATAACATCTGTTTGGCCATATAGGCTAAATATAACAATTATTACGGAACGTCTAAAACATTAAATGACTGTAAAAAGTACATAATTACGAACATAAATTGCTGTTAACTTTGGTGAGTTTCTAATGATATCTTTGAGAGTTATTTGTATAAGGCTAATTTTTGTATTATCAAAACATGTTCTATTAATTTAATAATAATTTAATTTAATTTAAACTAGAGGTCGTCCCGTGGTCAAAAGCTCGACGTAAAATATCTAATGTTCAGACTTCTCTACTTTCACCCCACCCTGTAAATAAAACATGTGATTGGAATTTCTTCATTTGTTTTGATTTTCTGTTTATGTTTCGTTGCCAGCGTAGCAACCCGTAAGGCCCATGTTATTTTTTTATTTTTTTTTTTTTCATTTTTTGCGCTTATTTCAGAGCCCATTAATTATATTTTAATTTATAAAGGGAC